GGGAAAAATTAGATTTATATTTGGTAGGGAGTGTTAGGGATTTTCTAATCCCTGTTGCGATTTGGAAATAGAAATGAGAGAGGGAAGAGAGTAAAAACAAATCACAGAACACATAGTATTTACGTGGTTCACTTCTTAATGAGAGAAGATATGTCCACAGCCGCCGCAGGTAAAATTCCACTATGTTCTGAATGGTTTACAAGCTGCGCCCTAATCACCCTTTTATAGCTAGGGTATTAGTGCGACTTAAAATTACATGTATACCTTTTTATAGCTAGGGTATTAGTTCGATCCGTGCAGTTTGGGTTCTGACGATTCGATTACTTAAGCGAATTGGGCCGGGTCTAAAAATTAAGCTCCACATAACCTAACAGGGAGCGATTAGAGGGAGGAGATATGAGTAGGGAATGGAAAGAAGGGAAGAGACATCACAAATGAATATGGAAAAAAAAGAGGGAGAAGAATCCCCCTTCGAAATTGGGAGGACACAAAAGGAAAGAGTAAATGAACTATAAAGGTAATAAAATTCCTCAATGACCCAAAATATGGGACCAATAGAGGGGACAAGTGAGGTGTCTCCCTCCTATTGGATAATGTGTTGGCCATCATTAATGATGACCAACTCATTATCCAATAAACAGTAAAACTTGTAACATTATTACGCTGAGTTCAAATATAAATAAGTTTTATTAAGAGAAGATGGTAGGTCCACCCATTGAAAGTATGATTCTAAAAATCTTATCTATGTTCGGATTGCTGGATTCCAGAAAGTTATGCATCATTGACAAAAAGCTTTCAACAAGATTGTCTTATTTTGACCATGACCAACTCAAAGATAAAATTTTGTAATTTAATTTTAGTAACTCATATTTCCAAAGTAAAACCATACCCAAAAAAATCTTCTTCACTACAAAAAAACAATGGAAAAATCATTATTTTTTACCACAATTATTGATTATCAAATAGTTGATTATAATTCATTTTAAATCTAATATTCACCACATCCCCATGAATTAACCTTATTCATAATTTCCACTCAAAGAAAAATCTTAACAACTCAGTAAAGAATTAATGATTGTAATAATGCAGTTGTCCATTCACCAATTTTTTGATAGTGGAAAGGATCTAAATCCCAAAAATAAAAGAGAAAAGAAAAAAGAACCACAAACCTAGACCAACCAATCAACTAATACCATCCACAAGTTTGGACACTTTTTATTTCTTCTATTAATCACAGATAACTTCTATTCAAATGTATATTCAGAAGTACCTATCACTTTCCAATTCGTCCACCCACTTGTTTTTCCTCAATTCTATACCATACTTATAACTTTTCAATTTTTTTATTTGAATTTATTATCCTTAAATCGGTACAAGTGAGACAAGTTTTCAGGAAAAACTTCTGAAAATGTCAATATGAGATCGTGGGAAATTTATATTTTTACTAAGTACACTAAATATAGGGATTGAAAAGTTGGACCCCCTAGCACTTATATGTTATGAAAATATCTGAATATTAACATCGAAGTCTCATTAGTCATGACTAATATGAGGAAGAAGTTAAGGAAAAAAAATCCTATATATTTATCTAGAGAAATAGGCAACAACACTTGTCTCTCCAACATACACACACATCTCATGAATGAATATCAAATCCATTATAGTAGACTTGTTCTTGGCATATCATCTGAAAGAGATCAGAAATATGAAGATTATTCTAATTTACCCAAAAGTCATGAACATAACACTCCTATTAAGATTTAGAATCACCATCAAAGAACATCATAATATCAATCTAAAACCCATTAATTATCTAGCATATAAAATAAAAAAAATAAAAAATATATAAAAATCAGAGAAACAAGAGTATTAGAGAAGAGCAAACCATCTCCATCCTTGTCAAAGAGACAAAAGGCTTCTTGAAACTCAGAGATCTGTTCCTCGGTCAAAAGATCCATTAGCCCTCTTAATACTATTCTCTAAGAACAACAAGAGAGTTTGAGAGAGAACCAAATTGAGAGAAGAGAATGAATGTAGAAAATACTTGTGAGAAGAGAATGGAGGGAGCCCAAGTCCTTTTGTAGGCATGTAGAGAGAGAGAGAGAGAGAGGAGAGAGAAAGATATAGAGAGAGAAAGATGGGCATTGGCGCATGACTTTTTTGGCAAAAAAGCCTAGTCAAAATAATATTTCTGCTTTTTGTAATAATTATAAGAAAAAGTGGAAGATAATAAGTAAGGTCAAATGAGAAATTTGCAAGTATGAGGGTGAGATTAAGAAAAATATTTTGAAAAGAACATAAAGTTTGTTAATGATTTGTCAGATTGTAGATTCAAATCGCAGGTTAATAAATTGTATTTATGTTTGTGTTGGCTTGTTCCAGCTTAAAGACAGCTGGAGCTGGGATTTGGTGCCTTTAATGAAATATGCTTAGATTAAGCCCACTCTTATCACCATATTTACAGAAAATGCCAATAATTGCCTAATAGAGATCTAGGATAGACTTCGTATGTTAGATCTCTGATAGTCAATAGGGTGTATTATTGCTTTAAAGTGTGGCCTTATGAATACAAGTATAATGTATGCATTTGAAAATGTTGTTTGAGGAGTTTTATTTACATGGAAAATATTTGTCAGCAAGAGCGGAAAATTAAATGTCGTTGCTGGCGGATTAACTGGCAGGGCCTGAGGTAGTGCTCCTTGGTGGGCCAAGAACAATATGTTAAATTTATAGTTTAACCCCCCGAAACAAAGAGTTGAATTCACAGTTTGTACGATGAGGGTAATTTTATATTCTTGGCCCTATAAATAGAAACCCTGTATTGTAAATGGAAAATGATTTAAGGACCCAAAATATGGGACCAAGGGAGGGGACAGGTGATGTGTCCCCTCCCTATTGCATAATGAGTTGGCATGGCCAACTCATTATGCAATTGGGAGGGGACACCTCACCTGTCCACCCTGTATTGTAAATGGAAAATGATTTAAGGACCCAAAATATGGGACCAAGGGAGGGGACAGGTGATGTGTCCCCTCCCTATTGCATAATGAGTTGGCATGGCCAACTCATTATGCAATTGGGAGGGGACACCTCACCTGTCCCCTTCCTTGGTCCCATATTTTAGATCCCCGTAGCAGCACTTTAAATAATAACTCCTTCACTCCATCACTACTTAAAAGTGTGGTTCGTACAAATAACTTCTAGCTAGCTCTCATAGTCCAGGTAATAGTTTGATTACCTTCCTAGTTCTAACGCACGGCAAAGGGGAATTCACATATGCATCTTGCCATCTAATGAAGGTTTTTCTTTAAGTTTAGCTTGTTTTTTGTTGAACAAAATAACTAACTCATTCTTAAAGTATTAATGAACTCTTAACTCTTTTCAAAAAAGTATAATTTGTCTATTTTCTCTGTTAAGTTATGTACGTGAAGGCACTCAATTTACTCATTTCATGAGCACACAGTTAAATATTTAACAGATCAATAGCGTGACTCTTTTTTTGGCATTTCTTTATAGGTTTTTATTGGTTTGTCTCCTTTTCCCTTAGTATCTCAAAAGATATCCAACTGGTGCAGAGCATCATGTTGATAATGTCTGGAGGAATTCATATTCATGGTCCAACTGGTGCAGAGAGCTGGAAAATTGACAATGTCCGTATGCTTATTAAGAAATTATCTATGATATAACGCATACCTCATATATCGTGTATCAATGTACGTTGTTATGTTTATGACCTATATTGCTATATTGTGTTCCGTGTTGCTCCAGTTGTGAGTTTGAAACAAAATCTCATTTTCACCTGGTAAAAAAAAAGGGAAAAAAATGCTTACAGCCCCTAAAACCCAAGAAAACGTGCTCTCCCCCCCCCATCCCCTCGCCCCTCTCCCCGCCCCCCCTGACACACAGTACTTTGTCATATCGGGTGTTTTTTGCCTCATAAAATAAAGATTTTTTTTTCTCTAAGCCCCCAAATACTACTAGAGACCAATGTATATTAAATATTATGAAGACCATAATATATCTTCCTTGCTTCTCGGTCGCTTTCCTATCTCTCTCTCTCCTTCTCTCATCTCCATCTCTCCACTCCCCTTGGGTTTTTCTTGTGTGGTCCTTTGGGGTGGTTTTTTTTCCCTCCCCCCCCCCCTTTTTGGGTTAGTTTTTTTTTGTGTTGCGTCCCCTCCTTTATCATCGATGCTTAGCTGATACGTTGAAATGATCGATTGTGCACTTGCTTATTTTATTATTGGTCGTGTGTTGAGAGAAAGAACCTAAACTGTTTTTGTTTATGGGCAGATTGTTGCAAAAGGTTACATGTTTAATGTGTTCAAGCTTACGGTGCCACACTTGTTAAGTTATGACGTTGATCCATTTTACAGAGAAACCATGTTTGACTAACTATCTGAGGAATTCAGTATTCATCGGTCCAAACTGGTGCAGAAGAGTTGGAAATTGACAATGTCCGTACTGTCTTATTAAGAAATTATCTAGTGATATATGACGACATACCTCATGTATCGTTTAATCAATTAGATTGGTATGTTTATGGACCTATATAATTATATTCGATCATTGCGTGTTCCGCCGCGCTGTTGCTCCAGTTTGTGAGTTTGAACACCAAAATCTCATTTCACCGGTTTAAAAAAAAAAACATTGCTCAGAAAATCCAAAAAGTGTACGTCAGCGTTTGAAGATAATTATTTCGCTCCGGTCGGTTTGTTCACATAACCGGAAAAGTTCTGTCCATCATATCTATATATTGATGAAGCCTATTTTGCCACTAAATTTACTTTTTTAAAAGTTCACTTTAAAGTGACTACAGGAGGGATTTTAACCTAATTTTGCTTGCTTCATCTTATCTTAAAGTCTCCTCAGTGCTCAAGCCTTCATGATGATGGCATCTGAATACTAGAATTGTTATGGTATAAGTCATACACTCTTTTTGTCTTTAACCTTCTAAGGATCTAATAAAGTTATGGATTTGAATTGCTTGAATTCTCTGCACTGCTATTTTCGGAAAAAAAACAAGAAATTGGTTTCTAGTTATAATTTCTTGTAGATATAATGATCATGAATATAATTCATGTTAAATGAAAAGTGAAACTAATATAGCTCCATTTGGAAGTGGTATTGTTACTATATAGGTGATTAGATAAATCAGAATGGGATATGTTATCCTAATTAGATTGCGCTATAATATACCTAAAGTCTAAAAAGTGTATTGGCACTGAAGGAAATCCAAAACATTGGCTAGTATCTATTCAATAAAAATTAAAGAATCATAAAGAAAAAAAATTGGTTGCTTAAAAAGAAATGATGCAGAAAATGGGGGGTCATTGCTGAGTAAGGATTCTATCAAAATGCCCTAATAGAAATGGGGGGTGATCTAAATACTCAATATTTACCCATTTTAATGGTTAGCTCTGAAATTACAACTCTTCTATCATAATATAGAGTTGTCTCGACTCCTACCAGTGATGATTCTGATAAATGATCCGTATGTTCATGGTAGGAGGAAAAATCCTCATATTTTACAATCAATTTTGGAATGTTATGAGCAATCATCCTCACTGATTTAAATAGTTAGAAACCCCACCTAAAACAGGTTCTACCCCATTTGCTGGGCAAGAGTAAACTTAAAATCTGACGCAATCTACCACCCTTAGTTGTGCACAAAATTCAAGATCTTTATTCACAAGCATTTATTATATATTGGTAAATGAACTATTTTGTTAGCCAGTGAGTGACACTGATATGTCTAAAAAAATTTTAAAGCTCTTGCTTACCCCCGAAGCTTTTATGTGTGTTTGGCCACTCAGAACGAGATCTGTGTTATTGATTATGGTTCTATTTTGGTGAAATTTAATGTGTTTTTTGGAAGAAAATTAGGCTAAGGTCAAACTTGGTAATTCTTAAACTGATTTTGTTTTTGACACCGCTTTCTTCTTTAAAATAGAGTAATAATCAATCTTGATCCCGATTTTAGGGTATTGCCGAACACACCCTAGATCATTCAAAAACCTCAAAAAAACAATGTTGAAGCTTTTCAGATCTACCCTCCTAATGCTGCGCTTAACTAGTCGCTCCATGCAACCCCATTAAACTGCCAACCTTTTTACTATTCTTTTTTCTCCAGAAAACTCCCCATGAAGCTTTTGTTAAGATTTTGACACTCACGGTAGGCCATTAGTGGGTATGTTGAGAATACATCAACATTGTCCGGTTTCGGTGGAGGAGTCGCAAGAGCGTTGGGGGCTCAAACACTTGTAGAACTTTTGCGGAGTATTCAGAATGACCAAACTTTTGGCTCTTTGGAACTCTATCCTAAAATTGGAATTTTGATGGTGCTCCCATGGAGGCACAGCGTCTTAATCCTAAATTTAAAATTAATGGATAATTAAGAAAAGTAACTCAACAGTTCTAAAATATCAATAGTTTCTTCTGTCCTCTGCTTAAAAATAACAATTAGTTCCACAAGCTGCAGAGAAGAAAAACATTAGTAAAATCGAAATAGGCCTCTCAATGTATAATTATTTTAAAGGCATCCTTATTTCATTTCAGGATGAAGTCTATTATTCTATCACTGACACGTTATCGGGATTAGAAACCTAGTAAGGCCCGATAATTGAGTCACGCTAATCTAGGTGGAGGATAATCTAAACTAGGCTGCTATTGTCATGGAATTTTTTTGTATGGATTCCTATACCTACATAGAGGTAGATGGAAATTGAAGGATATTATAAAATATTGAAATTGTGATAAGAATTGTTCCAACTCCTCCCTCCAAGAGAGTGCGGGTGTTTTTTTGTCTTGTTGGGTTTTTTTTTTTGTGTTGTGGTGGTTGTTTG